ACGGGTCTTTTGGGGATAGTTAATTAGAAGATTACCTGAAGGTCTAGATGTATAGCCAGGCATTGACACAGGACTGGGAAGTTCAAAAAAAGTTTCAGTTTCAGGTTAGTTAAAAAAAAAAGTGAAGTCTTTTTCCATGCCTCAACCTTCATAATGGTAATAATTTTAGCAGCTTGGTTAAAATGACTCCATTTTATATATTCCCTATCTTACTCTTTCCTCATCTTGAATATATTCTGAAATTTCCACTTTCCTACCTCCTTACTCTTGCCCATATCATCTGCCCACTTGCCCTTACTCAAATCTTACTCATTTTCCGGACACATCTCTAACACTGCTCCTGTCCTCCAGGCCACTCTCCATATTCCAATTCCAATTTAGTGTTTATAAGTATATTCCAGAGGAGGAAAATGGCGGCTGTGAGGAGGGCTCCCTGAGCTCTCCCTTGGAAATCAGCCATTTGAACAGCTGTAACTCATCAAGGGAACTTCTACTCATCTCAGGGAACAAACAGCTAAGAGACTCACATGATGATTGCCTGAAGGCAATCCTGAGAAATAAGAACAAAGTCGGAGGAATCATGGTACCTGACATCAAATCATATTACAAGGCTACAGTGATCAAAACACTGTGGTACTGGCATAAAAGCAGGCACATAGATCAATGGAACAGAATAGAGAGGCCAGAAATAAATCCATTCATATACGGTCAATTAATCTATGACAACAAAAGCAAGAATTTACATTGGAGTAAAGTCTATTCAATAAATGGTGCAGGGAAAATTGGACTGACACGTGCAAAAAAATGAAATTGGACCACCTCCTTACACCATATACAAGAACAAATTCAAAATGGATTAAAGACTTACATGTAAGACCTGAAACGATAAAACTCCTAGAAGAAAATATAGGGAGNCTCATCAGTCATTAGTATCTTTATCATATCCTTTAATAAACTGGTAAACGTAAGTATTTCCCTGAGTTTTAGGAGGTATACTCGATCATTTTTTTTTTAAACAGAAGTGATCTAAGGATAGATTAAATTAGGGTTCATGGCCTGGAATGAATGGGTTGTCTGTCAGAGCATAAAGATATCTGGGATAGAAGTAGGTGACTTGGACATATGAGAGTGGCCAGGAAGTATGAAGTTTTTATTTTCCATGTTAACACCAGCAAAGCACCCCTAACTGAAGAGGCATTAAACAACCAAGTAGAAAATAATGTCTCAGCCAGGTGAAGCCAACCATGCTCTGTCACTCTGGCCAGTTGAAGCCAACCATCCTCACCAGAGCGTTCACAAAAGGAAAAGGAGCAAACACAGTGGTCTTATTCTATGGATGAAAGACAAGCATCAGCCCGACATCTTTCACTTCTACTCACCAGGGCTGACTAGCTATTGCTGTCACTGAATCTCCAACCTGCCAGCAGCAATGCTGCTGTGACACCATCCCTGGAGACAGCCACTTGGTAGCAAGATGACTCTATTGGACCCCCTTCCACCTGGAAGGGACAGCTATTTATTCTGACAGAAATAAACTATGGGCTTGCCTCCCCCGCCTGCAGGACTTCACTCCGCACTGTTATCTGAAGGGGTATAGAGTGTTTAAACAATTGGCACAGGATCCCACTACGTACACCTATAAGAACCACTCACAGCAAATAAGGTGTGGTATCGAGACATGGCCATGAAATACCCTACTCATATTACAGACTGCGTCACCCCAAACCTGCAAACCTCTTAGAACGTTGGAATAAACTGTTAAAGGCTTAGCTGAAATGCCAGTTGAGAGACAATGCTTTACAATGATAGGACTTTACAATATTATTTTACAGTATTTTCTAGAACACAGGATTTACTTTAAATCAAAGACAGACCTTTATACAGTGCTGGGTCCCCAATAAAATAAAATGCATGGGTGCAGAAACCAAAACATGGAAACACGAGTAGCCCCCTTTACGGTCTCATCAAGTGACCCATTTGGGGAAATAGTGATTCTAATCCATGAACTCAGGGATCTGCAGATTGAAAAGTCCTGGTAGGCAAAGTGGAACACTTCTACCAAGAGAGGTAACATTTCCCATTTCTAAACTGCAACTGACGCTCGGCCACTTTGGAGCTTCTTTGGGCTCCTTGCTCACAAGGTAAGAGAAGGAATCACGGTCCTGGCAGTGAGAATTGTTCCTGATCATCAATACACGGGGTTATGGAAAACCAGCGGGAGCAGGAAGGATTACGGTTAGCACTTAAGTGCTCTTGGTGGGAGAGAGGTGGGCTCAGAAGGATAGTCTGAAGAAGGGCATAGAGGCAGCAGAAGAAGGAAGCAAGCTTGAGGAAGAAAGGAAGCAAATTCAGAAAAGCATGTTCAATTAGATTTGGGGGAGTCTTGTTCTGCAGGTTAAAGCATACAGACCAGAAAAAAAGGGAAGAAAAGAGAATAAATGCCAAGAAACAGAAGGCAATAATTCAAAAGTCTAACTAATATATTAGGTATGGCCTATTTTCACTGGTTCATAAAAGATAAGAAAAGCAGGAAGGTTAAGAGAATGGGAACAACCAAAGGCAGGGAGGGGGAAGGAAGGAAGGAAGGAAGGAAGGAAGGGAGGGAGGGGAAGGGAAGGGGAAGTGAAGTGAAGGGAAGGGAAGGAAGAAGGAACGAGAAACCTGGACTAGAGGCTGTGCTTTTAAACAAATTTATCCACTCCAAGTATCATGCAGAGTGTACAAATTCTTTTATGTAATTCAAAACCTTCCCTCAATAATCTCCATTACTTTGAAACAAATAAACTTCTAATATAACATCATTCCATAAGCTCTTACTGTGTTCACATGTTGGTTTTTCAGGACTCCACGTGCCATCCCTTTGGCATGAAGCGTCAAAGCGTTCTCTCCCAAAACATGAATATGAAATCGAGTCTCCATAGAAATAGTCACAGCTACTGGCAACACTTTTTTTCCTCCTTTGAAGGATTTTGCCATTCTTCAGATCTGGTTCTGTGCAACATACCTCTAAAAAATAAAAAGTGAGGCTAACGGTTGGTAAAATCACCATGAGGAGGCCCTATGGCTAAGGACCTCACTTCCACCTTTGGAAGAGCTCACCACAGAAGAGACGGGGCAAATAGACAAGGACACCCAAGACACTTTGCGTCCGCTCTCCCTGTCTCTGATTTGCTGAAGTAGTCCAACCCAGTTTTTTCCCTCCAAGTAAATAATTTCACTAGGATCCTCCAAAATGAGAACTTGGATTAAACCAGTATGAAAATGTAAATTTTCAAAGTTAGTCCAGAGCAAAGACAAATAACATTCATCTCCTTATGGCTTCATTAGGGTTACGTCATTATTAAGCTTTCTAATAACTTACACTTCCCCAATCACAGGAGGAAGAATGTTCTCAAAAGTTGACATCTACCTGACAGCAAATGCATGGAAATAAATTTAAATTATTGCTTTGGCCAGGGTTTTTCTTCTTTGATGCCAAATTTAAGAGAAATATCTACTCAGATTCTTTCATTTTAATGTAATAAGAGCTGATCTAGGGATATAATTTTTATTTCCTAGTGGAAATACTTTCAAGTAGAATTTGATATTGTTTGATGTAAGAGAAAACATCATAACAGAGTAAAATGCTCTGTTGACCCTCTCGGGAGCTTGACCAGCACTACAGGGTGGTCTTGCAGTGATAGTCAAATACTCTCAGCACGAATTATAATAAAAATACTCAACATTCATGTTTTCTAAATTGTAACAATGTTTATATATAACGCTTTAAATTGTAGAAAACACTTTTAAATAATTAATGCATGAATCCAAATTCATATTTTATTAGATTTTATGATAAATTGGATCAATACCATTTCACTTCTACTTTTTAAATGGTTAAAAAATATCCCTTATTAAACAACTAAATCAATAAGATTAAAATGGATAAGGTAAATATAATTTAAAGGTAGGTTTTTAAACACATATAAATATTCATTTATATAAAAAAATTAGTGTCTTAATTACATGTCATTGTTTTTTATTCATTAAAGAGGATCTCCAAAGGCCTGTATGAATCAATATTTTGTTATTTAAGTGGTGGCAATAATTGTTGTTAAACATATTTTTAATTCAGTCAGTTGGTTAAAATCTTTCATGCTATTTCCACAAAATGAGTCTGAAAAATTGCAATAAGCTTTAAGTGGTAATATGAAATGACTAATCTTTCAGTGGGTTGATCTAAACTACCATTTTTTATTATTTGTGCATTTCACATATTTTTCAAATTCCAATCTGTAGAATAAAATTCCCTGTATTCTGGGCTTCAGTGTCTTCACCTCTAAAATGGCAGGGTTCTGATAGATGCGTGAAAGGAAGCATTTTCTCCCTCTGTTTTCACTTCCACTGAGGCCCATAAAATTGCATCTGCCTGTGTATTAGCCCATCACTCATTCTCTCTAAGAGCAAAGGGACAACTTCTGTTAGTGAGATGAGGAAGTCTCCTTTCTATCTTCCAGAGGCAAGAATAGTGGGTCAAGGTCTGTCTTCTAGAAGCAGTCACAAGACCAAGCTCTTTCAGCCACAGTCCCATGCTCAAGAGACATGAGACAAGTCACTTTACACCTGGTTGAATTCATGATGCTTTCACAGACTTCCTTCTACCAAGCACCCCAAAGCCCACATTAGGAAGAAAGGGGCTGATGGAGCTCTGACTCTTGCAATAGTTAAACTGTATTCTCCTTCTACCATTATTAGTAATGAAGCTAATACTTAATCTGTATAATGTTTGACTTCTGTGTCTTTGTGTCATTTGCTCTGAACTGGGATAAGGTTATAATTTCTCAGCCCCTCAAACTCCAAGACTTTTATGGTTTCTTCTGACAATAATAGTCATTATTCTATTGAATTAATATAATTTTAGCTTTATCTTGAAGGATGTAACTTTATTCATTTAAGCTAGAAAATCCTAGAAGATGCTGCACATTTAATATACTGAAAGATTTTTAAAAACGGAAACTCACCCTGACATTCTACATATGAGGTCCACGTCAAATTTCTCTGACAAGTCACAGTCGTAGGCTTATCTTCAGCAGGTTTATAGCCAGGATAGCAGTGGTATTTCAACACAGTCTCAACATCATACAGTTCTCCTTTTGGTGGCTTGTGGTAGTGATATATTTCCCAGGAAGCATGTGGGATATCTGGTAAGTCAACACAACTATCTGCTCATAAAAGAATAAGGGAAAAAGATACTGTTACTAGGAATGCAACATGATCAATGACCTGCCCTATCAAAGGGTGTCGTTTGTTCATTCAGCCATGAACCAGCTTGCCATGGCTGATGTACCAGCCACACCAGAAAACACACATGGACATGCGTCCAAATGTGCACAGCATCGGAGAGTTTCTTACTAAACACACTACCACCAGGTGGTATCTGTATGTCATGCCAACTATCCAAAACGTTAATTTCCCTCCCTCCTCATTGAACTTCAAAAAGTTTAGTTTCTGAATTGACACATTAGGCTTGTGAGGTGTAGATGTGGCTGGAAAACTGCGCCAGACAATCCTTTCTTATTTCCTGGCAGATTGGGGAAAATAAACAAGTCATTGCCCTCATTCAGATGACACCAGGAACATTATCACCTAAGGGCTCATCAAGAACAAAACAAACTCCAAGCATCTTTTGAGCCTGGACTTGTGTCTTGTGTTCTTTGCTCTTTCCTGACACTACTAATTCATATCATATGGACATTTAACACATACATCTGCCAAGTGGGATATTTATTACATTTTACCTTCAAACATTTTAAAGGGTATGTAGGGTAAGGATTTTTTTTAACAGTTTTATTGAGATACAAGTCACAGAAGATAAAATTCACCCATTTAAAGTATACAATGTGTTTTAGTATATCCACAGAGTTGTGTAACCATCACCACTATCCAACATTAGGATATTTTTATCAACCCTAAAAGAAACTCTGTACTCATTAGTAGTCACTCCCTATTCCCATCTCCCCTCTGGCTCTGGGAATCACTACCATACTTTCTCTATACATGAGTCTGCCTATTCTGGACTTTTCAAATAAGTGGAATCATGTAATATGTGGGTGTTTTTTTTTTATAACTGGCTTCTTTCACTTAGCATAATGTTTTCAAGTATCCTCCATGTTGTAGAATGTATCAGTACTTCATCCCTATTGCCAAATGATACTCCATTGTATGGATATACCACTTTTCTTTTATCCATTTTTCAGATGACAGGCATTTGCGTTGTTTAGCTATTATAAATTATACTGCTGTGAACATTAACATAAAACTTTGTGTGTGTGGACATCTGTTTTTATTTCTCTAGGTGGATACCTAGGAGGGCAATTGTTGGGTCATATAATACCGCAAACCTTTGAGGAACTGCCAAAACTCTACTCCAAAATGGCTGCACCACTCTGTATTCCCACCAGCCTTGTATGAGGCTTCCAATTTTTTCACATCCTCACCAACATTTATTATTGTTTATCTTTTTTATTATAGCCATACTGACAAGTGTAATGTGGTATTTTACTGAATCTAGAAGATCACCTTACAAGAGATACTAACGGAACTTCTTCAGGCTGAAAGCAAGTGACACCAGGTAGTAATTTGAATCCATGCAGAAAAACAATGAGCACCAGCAAAGGTAATTATGTAGGTAATTAAAAAGATAGTATATTGTATATTTCTTCTCTTTTCTTCTCTTAATTGACTTAAGAGTAATTGCATTAAACAATATGTATATCACTGCATTATTAAGCCTATACCACACAAAAAAATGTGATATATTTGACAATAACAGCACAAAGAAGATAGGTGGGAACAAAGCTGTATTGGAGTATGGAAATGACACATTTGGACGCACAGGAAGAAATGAACAGAATCAGGAGTGGTAAAGGAAGATTATTATAATAAGCTCTATAAATATATACTTGTTCTCCTTTCTTCTCTCAGCTACCTTAAATGATGTGAAACACAAAATCACATACAGCAATAGTTATAACAATGTACTGTTGGGTTTGTAATAAATATATAAACATGAAATGTTTTGTTGGCTTCTTGGTTGACAGTTTTGGTTTTTTTCCTACACTTTGAATATGCCATCTCACCTCCTTTGTTTCTGATGAGAAGTCAGATGTTAATATTACTGGGCTTTCATAAACTTGTTGGATGTGTAAATTAATGTGGTTTTTGCTTGTTTTTTGTCAAATTGGGGGAGTTTTGATCCATTATTTCTTCTAATAGTTTTTCTGCTCCTTACTCTCTCTTCTTCCGAAATTCCCATTATGTAAACGTGGAGGCAATTAAATGTCCCACGTTTCTCTGAGGCTTTATTCATTTTTCTTCATTCTCTGTACTCCAGATTCCATGATCTCAATCAATCTATCTTCACAATCACCAATTCTTTCTTCTGCCAAATCAAATTTACTGTTGTGTTCCTCTTGTGAATTTTTCATTTCATTTACTGTGCTTTTCAACTCCATAATTGCCTTTTTTTCTTTGAGTCTAACATCACCTTCATTTATATTCTCTATTTAATAAGACAATGTCATAATCCTTTTCTTTAATTATTTAAATTATTTTCCTTAGTTCTTGGAACATATTTATAATTACTGCTTTGAACTTCTTTTCTGCTAAATGCAACATCTAGGTCCCTTCAAAGGCAATTTCCAGTGTCAGCTTTTTCCTTTTGTATGAGTTACTTGTTTCTGTTTCTTTGCATGTCCCATAATTTTTTGTTGAAAACTGAACATGTTAGATAGTATATTGTAACAACGTAAGATACTGATTTCCTCTTCCCCAGCTCCATGGCCTGCTGTTATTGTTGTCTCTTGTTTGGTTATTTATTTGTTTAGTGACTTCAGTGGATTAGTGCAGTTAAGTCTATTTCCCCCAAATCATGCAATCTCTAATGATGCTCCCAAGAGAGCACAGCCTTGGGATGGCACACTGTCTTCCTACCACCAGGGATGACTGTGGTTTTTCTTTGTCTCTTTCCCATTAAGCTTTTGGCTAGTTTGTCTCTATTGGTATTACATATAGCTGTTAGCCTCCAATTATTGTTAGCTGGTTGCTCTATTGTTTTTGACAACTCCCTGAGGGCATAAATTGTTTCACAATCAGATCCAATTAAAGCCAGGTCCCTTGGCAGGGGCAGGGCATTGACAGTCTTTGAAGCTTGCTCCAAATCTCCCCTGGCAGGACCTTTGTGTTATGGATCAGGAGCTGGGGGAAACTGGGGACTCATTCTTTACCAGTTCCCCCAAAATCCTTCCTATGGCTTAGGGGTTGTGAGAAGGAGAGGAGGGAGGGGAGGTAGGAACCGGTACTGCCACCAGCTGTGCCTACCACCAAGTATAGATATTTCACAGCCCAGAGCCAGGGAGAATGAGATCTGCTAGTGTCACTAGCTGTCAAATCTACTCATGAAAATTATTCTGCTCCATGAAGCTGGGGAGGATGAGAGATGGCACTTGGCCACCAACCCCACTGGAACAGACCTCCTACAACACAGAATTAGGCAGGAAAGGGGGACTGAATTCTTCACCAGATGCCCCTACTTGCATCTGGCTGCTGCCACCTGAAGCATGGAGCTTTGGAAAATGCTATTCCAAGATGTTTGCTGGCAACCAAATCCAGTCTAAATTGCTATTCCACCCCAGCAAGCTGGGGAAGACGGGAATTGCCACTCCTGAGTCCACTGAAACAGTTCTCCCACAAGGCTGTTGGGGACTGGGTACAGACCCTAGCTCTAATGTAATGGCCTCCCATTGTTTGTTCCAACTCCACATAGATTTTGTTAGATAAATGCTTATCAATTTGTTGTAATTTCTTTCGTTAATCTCCAGAGACCTAAAATGGTTGTCTTTGCTAATTATGAGCAGTTTAATAGATTGGAGAGCGCTTTCCCCAAGCTCTTTACATCACTATTCCAGAAGTCCCCAAGGTAAGTTCTTGACATTTCATGAGGCTAAAAGTAAGAGCACAAGGCACAAGTGGCTTCCTCCCATTTCGAGTTATATGGGCATGTCACTTAGCCTCAATAAACAGATTCCTCATATGTAAAGTGAGAATAATAATAATGTCTACTGTTTGGGGGAGGATTCATTGATTAAATTCTTATTAAATACCTAGACTGGTGCCAAGTTATCATTACTACTTTAACATTATTTTTAATGATCCACATGAGTTTGTAATTTCAGAATGTCAGAGTCATAGTTAGTCCATACAATACTTTTGTGCAAGTTAGAAAAAGACATTTTTTTTCCTCAGAACACTTTACTATTTATCTTTCAAAACAATTATCCTAATATGATGATTTTGTTAGAACAAAACAATTTTATATCAACTGCAAGAAAATTGTTGCGAGAAATACACTAATGCACAATGTCTACAATGTCAATATCTCCCCTTAAGGTTGGAGTGTGCATAACCTGCACAACTGCACATGGCAGCCTTTTGTGATGTCATGTGATCCTGTACCATGTACTGTGGTCTATCTTTTTCCCAACAAGAAAAAAATAAAGACAATTATTGATCTAAATTTAAATTTTCACTGAAATTCAAATGGGCTTAGGCATACATGTATGCCCTCGCCAACATTTCTGGATATCTTTATATGCCAAACATTGAAGTTCCTTTATGGTCCATACTTACTGAGCTCACAAATGGGAGGAGGTGGATTCCAGTTGTTATCAGCTCCACAATGGATTAAACTGCTGCCTTTGAGGTTAAAACCTTTATTGCAGTCAAATTCAACAGAGTCTTTGTAAGTATAGCTGGGTCCAAATCCCGTGACTATTTTTCCATCTTTAACATATGGCCGATGACAGCTGATTTCTAAAGAATCATAAGAAAAGACAAGTGGATTATAAACGAGAAATGGCAATAAGGAAATTACTGCTATTGCTAATTTAGTTCCAAGCATAACACAAAAACTTTATACAGTACATGTCAAGTAGACATGGGGAAAACATTTTTAAATGCATATATATTTTTTTCAACTTTTAAAAGCCTTATTAAAATGAGATCCCATCATATTGGTTCTATTATTAGATGATTGTGGGTAACTCCAACTTCCTCACTTTCCCAAGAAAAACTAGCCATATAGAACCCAGAAGAAACACATTATCTCAAAGTCCCCAAATCCTCCCCTTATAATGACCTATTTTCCTCAATGATTTTGGTGGTGGGTCAGTGGTCAATGGTAATGGTATGATGATCATGATAATGAGGCACCCAGGGCATCGGAGATCTCCACCTTCACAAGCAAAGAACACACTGCCTACTCCCTCAGCGAACAGTCAAGTCCTTCTACCTTAATTCTTCTACAACCCCTCAACTTCTCTCCAGGCCCGCTACCATGGCTACAGTTGAAGCAACCTTAACTTATTGGCTGGATGTTTGCAACAGGTGACCATGTGTTCAATTTTGTTCCACTTCAAATTGTCGGCCATTCTGCAGCCAGTTACCTTTCTAAAATGCAACAGGTTAAATCTCCTGGTTAAAGCCTTTCAATGTCTCCCCTTCACCTTTGTTCTGAACTCCTGAGAGTGACACATAAGACCCTTCATAACCTGATGCTGCTAACTTTCCAGCCTCAGTCTCTGCCATTTCCACCTCCTAGATTCCAGACATTTTGAACTGTTTGCAATATCATGCTCTCTCATCCCCTGATTTGACTGTGTCCTATGGGGAGTCAGAATAGTAAGTGATACTGTGTAGGCATCAAGTAGCAAAGGAAGATGCCTTAGATTAGCAAACTAGCCAAATACCACAGTATATCTTCTTGCTCAACTACTGTTTACTTTGTCCTGTTGACCTTCTGGTGGTTAGTAGGTTTTGCTTGCTATGTGGTTGACATTACAAATGCTAACCAACATTTCCAGCTCTGCTTCCTGAACAGAGAAAAGATGATATTCCCCAGTTCTCTTGGGGTATGTAGGGTCTACGCACTACTAGTTTGGGGGAAAAGGCTGCAATGTAAAGTGATATGTGGTCACTTCCAAGCCAAAACTCTTAAAAGCCGGGACACAATTTGCTTTCCTCTCTTGCTCTTCTGAAGATATTGTGAAAGTGCATTTTGATATAAGGTGTGACAAGATCAACCTAGATTGCTAAACTTGTTGCTAAACTAACACCTAGAGAGTCTCCTGGACATTCAGTACACTCAAGATGAATGAGAATCAACTACTTCACAAGGCCAATGAGATATTGGTGCTGTTTGTTACCATATACTGGTCCAGCATACATCCGTATCAGTTGACCAACTAAATGACTTTATCATTGCAATAATTAGTCTTTGAATCATTTCATTTCCCCAATAAATCCACCTTCCTTCCTCCTTTAAACAGAAGAAAAAAAATTCAAAGCAGGATTCAACAATTCAATTGCAACTTACTTTTACAGGTAGGAGGGCTGGGGCTCCAGACACCTGTTGTTTTATTCTCCACTGTGCAGGAAATGGAAGCTTTGCCTAACATTGAGAAGCCTTTGTCACAACTGTAGGTAACAGAAGAGCCATATCGGTAGTCATCTTCATATCCACCAGTGTGTTTCCCATTGCTGATGTCTGGAGGGGCTTGACACTGGGCAACTGGGATGAGTGAGTGAAGAGGAAGAAATAATCAGGGAAGGCATCCTTACCAATTTAACATTCATGATGCAAATTCTAATAGAGGATACAAAAAAGCAGCAAAGACGTACAGGACTTTCATCACCTAACATAGTATAAGTTTATAGTCAAATCAGAAAAAAGTACTTACTCACACATTCTGGGAAAGGATCACTCCAGGCAACTGTTTTATCTTGGATCTCACAATGACTAGTGGTTGAGCCAATTAAGATATATCTGAATAAAATAGGATCAAAGATTTTAGTGGAATTCTTCCTACACTCAATTAAATTGGATAAAAGTGTCTGAACAAACGAATTGTTACTCAACATTAAAAATGAAGAAATAATGTTTTCTCAGATAACACTTCCCATTGAAGCTCCATTCAGCAAAATTTCACCACTGCAATGAGATGTGTGTGTTTGTTCACTTGTTCTTTTATTCTGCAATCTACTATTGAGCATCTCCTAGGTGTCTGTCAGTCATGGAATTCATGCAGAGCTCAAGCAGGACAATATAGAGGGAAAGACTCATTTGAGTGTATAATGCAGTTTGGATGAGGGTACCAGCTAGATTACTGGCTCCAAACTCTCATGGTCTGCAGCCTCCTTTTGACTTGTAGATGATTGTCTTCTCCCATACACTATTAATTCCCTGTTCACAATCCCTATTTTTATGCTCTTGACAAGTTCTAAGCTTGATACTCTCTATGTATTATGGTAACAGAAAAAAAATAGAAAAGCATTGCTAGTGTGATGTAAAATTTTACTGTCATCTAGGAATAACCTACAATATGATTGAACACTCATATAAATGATACCTTCAGCAATTTAAGAGCCTCTCGACTTTATTTAATAATAACTTAAAGAAAATGAATATTTTAATAAGATAGGATACAGTGAAAATTAAGCATTTATTTATTTTTAAACTTATTTAAAATGCAATTTTTCTAACTTAGCCAGGAAAACAAGTGAAAAGTACTGTTTCTGGTTATTTCAATAGGAACACCTCAAATTTGAACAGCATCGTACTTAATGAATTCTTAGCAGATATTTACAATAAAGGAAACAGTATAAACATGAGAAAATCAAACAAAATAAAACAACAATATTAACAAAAAAGATTAGAGAAAAATGTGAGATATAGACAATAAACAATGGAGAATCAACATACTTCATTGAAAAACCTGAAGAAAGAACACAAAACAGAACAAAATAGCTATTTTAAAATGTATTTCAAGTAAATATTACAAAAGTAGAATAATACTTTAATCTACATTTTAAAATTGTATATCACTTAGCAACAACAACAAAACAATGAACAAAATGGTTTGTATCAAAACAACCAAGAGTAGACTTATTAGATTTCAAAAATAAAGAATAATATCTTTGAACAGCCAAACAAAGACCCAAGTCACATATAAGAAAAAGAAACCCAGGGAGGCATCAGAGTTATTTACAGCAACATCTATTAGAAAGGGATATTTAGCAAAATCTATAAAATACTCAAGAAAAGAACATGTGAGCCACAGACTTGATATCCAGCCATATTGTCTTTTAAGCATGAAGTCCTCAGATAGTATTGAACTTGTAAGAACTCAACAAATAATTTTCACTTGGAGCTTTCCTTTTAGGAAATCACCAGAGGACAAACGATGGCCAACCAAGCAACAGCAGGCTAAATTTCAGCAAAAACAAAAATAAAAAAACAACTGGTAGTGAACACTGAACATGCAGATCTAGGACAAAAACAAAGGTAGGGTTAAGAGCGACTGAATGAAATACAAATGTTATATGTTCTGACAGTGCTAAAATGACATAGCTAACAAATAATAGGAGATGAAGGAAAAAGTGGAAAAGAAAACAAATTCCCTCATTGCTTTATCTGCAAGAGTTGGGAGTGAAATCAAGCTATAGACATATATGAGCATTTAACAGTAATGTTAAATATAAACACTAAGATAATACAAATGACATACATTTACTGGTAGAAAAGACAGAGGAGGTGAGGAGGGGAGGAGAGAATACAAGATAGCTTTACTGTTGCTCATAACCAGGAGCAAATTTAAACTGCCTAAATATAAAGGGGATAATGATATTATATAAATGTAAATATATAAGGGTTACCACTAGAACTAAATTCTGAACCTTCCTAAATATCAAATATATATATAAACAGAGAGAGAGAGAGAGAGAGAGAGAGAGAATATATACATAAAAGGCCTCACAATGAAGTTTGCAAACTCACCCTAGAAAAAGTGCTACATACCTCACTGCTGAATATCACTACAGTCACCTTCAAAGTACTCCCCTTGGGAAGCTATGTACCGATGCCAGTACGTAGTCCACCCTCCAAAGCAATTTTGGAACTCTTTTTCTGGAATGGCCATCAGAGCTGTTGTCATATTACCCTTGATATCCTTAATGTCATCAAAATATCTTCTTTTCAATATTTCCTTTATGTTCAGGTAAAAAAAGAAGTCACTGGGGCCAGATCAGATGAGTAGGGAGGGAGGGTGTTCCAATACAGTAATTTGTTTACTGGTTAAAAACTCCCTCACAGACAGTGCTGTGTGAGTTGGTGCATTGACGTGATGCAAGAGCCATGAATCGTTGGAGAAAAGTTCAGGTCATCTAACTTTTTCAGGCAGCCTTTTCAGCACTCCAAAGTTGTAAACTTGGTTAACTGTTTGTCCAGTTGGTACAAATTCATAATGAATAATTCCTCTAATATCAGAAAAGGTTAGCAACAGTGTTGCAACAAGTTCGTGAAGTTAATTGTCAGACCTTGTACAGTAAAATATATTAAATAATATAATAAAACCAAGTCTATAGATATCACTCATATCAATAAATGTAATTGGACTTAAGTTTCTTATTGAAAGAAAGAGCTTTTAATCAGAACAAAATTCAACTCTGTGTTGTACACAGGAGACAAACCTAAAAGTATTTCAGATAGATTAAAAACACAAGGAAGGGCAAAGTTATATCAAGCAAATGCAAACAAAACAAAAGTGGGAATAATGATTTTAATATTCCAGAAACTGGACATCAGAACCAAGATTAACAAATTGCACAAAGATGGGCATATTACAGTGTTAAAGGTTTTGATTTCTAGTAAACAGCTATGAATAATAATGTACCCACAATATAGCATGAATTTTAACATAACAAAAATACATGAGTCATAAGAAAAATAGTCAAAATATGCTATTATTTATCAATAATTTATTTTGTGATATTTAAAATAATTGTGAAATTGTTCATTTATTTTAATTGCTGTTTTTAAGCTTAAGGCATATAAAGAGAAGCATAATTAAAATTCAAAAGAGCTAATCAATAAAGTAGATCTGATGTGTATCAGGTCTGACAATTAAGTTCATGAACTTACCACCGTGTGCTTACATTGGCAGCACTGTAAAAACAGCTCGGTGAGGTTTTATAACCTTAGTATATCAGTGTCTCACAGCTGTGTCGTGTCGATGTGTGGTGGTGTCTTGCTATGTGGCTTTCATTATTGTTGTTGCATATTTTTCTGTGTTGTCGCCAGAATGTCTGATCTTGAATTAGAGCAGCAAATAAACATTAAATTTCTTGTTAAACTTGGCAAGACTGGAAGTGAAATAGGGGACATGTTAGTCCAAGTTTATGGGGATAATGCCATGAAGAAAACAGCACTGTATAAATGAATTAAACGTTTTTTGAAGGGGGAGAGCACGTCACTGATGAAGAGAGGTCGGGGTGGCCAGTAAGGAGCAGAACAGACGAAAACATTGAAAAAATTTGTTGAATTGTGCATCAAAATCATCGGCTGACTGTGAGAAGCATATAGCAACTCTATACACTACTAATTAAGATTATACCTTCATTGTTTTGTTGATGGTTTCTTTTGATGTGCAGAAGCTTTTTACTTTGATATAGTCCCATTCATTTATTTTTGCTTTTATTTCTCTTGCCTTTGAGGGCAAATTCATGAAATCTTCTCTAAACCCAAGGTCTATAAGTTTAGTACCTATGCTTCCTTCAATGCAATTTATTGTTTCAGGTCTTATATTTAGGTCTTTGATCCACTTTGAGTTAATTTTGGTACACGGTGACAGATAGCAATCTAGTTTCATTCTTTTGCACATGTCTTTTCAATTTTCCCACCATTTATTGAAGAGGATTTCTTTTCTCCATCGTATGTCTTGGGTTCCTATGTCAAAAATTATCTGCCCATATACATGTGGGTTTATTTATGGGTTCTCATTTCTATTCCATTGCCCTGGGTGTCTGTTTTTCTGCCACCATACTGTTTTGATTATTGTTGCTTTGTAGTATAAATCGAAGTCAGGGGGTATGATACCTCCAGCCTTGTTTTTTCTTAGGATTGCTTTGGTTATTTGGAGTCTTTTGTGATTCCATACAAATCTGATGATTTTTGTTTTATTTCTTTAAAATATACCTTTGGGATTTTTATTGGGATTGTATTAAATCTGTATACTGCTTTAGGAAAAATGGCCATTTTCACTATGTTGATTCTTCCAATCCACGAACATGAAATATCTTTCCAGTTCTTAGTGTCTTCTTCAATTTCTTGTAATACTGTCTTATAGTTTTCAGTGTATCAGTTCTTCACATCCTTTGTTAAGTTTATTCCAAGCTTTCAATTTTTTTTTTCAATTGCAAAAGGATTGTATGCTTATCTAGGGAGATTCAACTTTTTATTTAAAAAAA